GGGAATATAGGTGGTGACACATTATATTTTTATAAAAGAGCAGAAATATGGAAGAAATGTTTTACCTCTTGTCATTAATTTACCATTATGTGTCAACCTTTAACAAAACCTTGTTGATTTTGATTTTCATGTTCTCTCTGATTTTGTAATAGTTACATCACACTTTCAATATTATAAATTTAACATTGTAAGTGTTTGTTTATGCTTTATTTCTCTCTTAGCAATTATTCAAGGGCCAATCATCGATACTAATCTAATCTGGAATTATTTAACTAATATGAACATATTACAGGTTAGAGATTTCTCCACGTCTGACTTTTGTCTCTGCTACTGGTTTCTGACCGTTGGCTCCTATCAGAATCTCTGTTTTTGTACCACCAATTCTGTACTGTGATTGCAGATTACTCATGTACAAACTCTGGCTTAATCTGAGGATTGCATATTTCTCTTAATATGTCAATTAGATATTCTAATAATGACCAAGATTGGCTGAAAGACTAACTTCTATCTATTCCCTGAACATTATTAAGGATTACCTGTTATCAGAGGAGATTTGTCTAAGGTTTTTACTCCTCTTGCTATCAGACTTGAGTTCTGTTTTTTGGTACCGGGTCTGGCTAACTGGATTTTCATTCTCCTCGCTTTGTGGATTTTTATCAACATAGTGACTCTCACAGCAATGGAGCATGTATTAATTGCTTCTATAATATTATACTTCCTGCTAACAACCCATTTGCCACCATCTTGCCAAAAACTGAAATTTTTTAAGTATTTAGTTACAGTATTTAGTTTATAAAGTGCCGAATGTTAATCACAGAACCCCAGTCTGCCTCGCGTTGGAGAAATAATAGGTGCCTTGACACTTCTGTTTTTAGAATGCTACGGACGCACGGGATCTGGCGAATTTCATGTGGTTATGTAAGTCAGCGGAACAGATTATTGTCGCACTCTTCATAGCACCTTCCGTGGAACCTTTTATTTTTTATTTTTCGCATCCTACTGTGATGTATCATTTCTATAATATGTAAAAAATAAAGTTTTTTAGGAATAAAATGTATGTTCATTTTTCGTTTTCAAACACTGGGTATCTGTAACTGTATATTAGAAAGGTTAGAAATATAAGCAGCTTGTATTGGATATGTTCAATGTACACATTTTAAATATTTGTTGTAGATATACACCCTGTTCCAAATTATTATGCAAATGATATTTTTCTCATTTACCTAAATAATTTATGTAAATAACAGTCAGCATAATTCTCATGTTATCAACTATTAAGAGTACAATTCAAATTTTATTGAACAAACCTCCTAATGATAACAGTATTTAAAAAAAAAAATATTTGTAATTATTTTATTTGTGCTCGAGATAACATAAAAGCTGACAATGCCACAACAGCATAGTACAAGCCCATTAAAGCAAGGTATTTCACATAGATGGCATTGAATTATTGGCACTTTTTTTGTATTTGTAAGAGGATAAACAAGCTAGGTACATACATCTAATTGTAAGTCACCAGAGTGACAAGCCGTAACTTCGGTATGCATAATGTAGTGGGCATTATAAGAGTAACTGTGATGCAACTGAATGTTGCGTATGATCTGGCAGCATGATTAGTCTGGATAATGCTATACAGTTAACTGTTCTAAGATAGGCTAATCTAAATGTCAATGCTTCAGGTATTCGAGCGGCAAAATAGTCATATAACACGAAACTTTGCGTTAGAGGGCCTGTGTGTACAATTTTATAGTAAGTAGATAAACATGCAGGAATTGGTGAGACTTATTCACATATGAGTAGATCATGCTAGACTTGCGGATGCTGATTTAATCGCATAACATGCTGGCTAGGGGTATAATAACAGGTTAGGTACGCCGACACAGGTTATGTAGATAGATAAAAACAAACTATTAGCAGGTTTAATACCTGACTCACTGATTTGTTTGTTAGCCTTAGCGAGTTCAGTGGAGCTAGTGTCTAGTTGTATAGGCTATGCTAGGCTCTCTATTGTTGCCTGGGGTTGTGTAACATGCTGGCTGGAATCGTATAACATGCTAGCTGGAGTCATATTAACAGGCTAGTGACTGGTGTGACCTCTGTAACGCCTCTCTTGTAATATAGCATGTATTGGCATAGGCAGGCAACTAAGGACGCCTAAACATAAAAAGAAAAACCAAAAACAAAGTTTAAGCACATAGTCAACAGCTTTGTTTGTCTGGGTACAGACGGGTTAAGCTGTTGTTGCATGTCCTAGCGGGTGGCAAGGGTGCTCTGGAACAATTGGCACTGTCAGCCAATGCCTCGGCTTTGTGTTGCCACATAGACCCTGGGAGATGCTGGGTAGTAGATCATCCGATGCCCCGTCTGGAGACTGTGAGTGCAGGTGTGGGGTGGATGTCAGTGAGCCCTCTGTGTTCACATGGGCTTCTCTGTGTATTTCAGGTGGGGCGCCCTTCCTGTCCTGAGACTCTGTGAGAGCCGGTACCACCATTTCACGGACCCGTAGCCGTTTTGTGGCCTGATTCTTCCCCACTGTGGGGCTGCTTAGGGCAGCACTTCGGCGCTTCCGTGGGTGCTTTGCTCTCTTCCGCAGGTGTGTGTGGCTTGTGGGGGGTCTTACCCCTTATGACTCTCATACCAGGCGGGCTGTCATTCTTGTTTTTCGTCGGCTTAGCTGTAGCTTTGCCCGGTTGGGGCCCCTCTGGCTGCACCTTGGTCTTTCGCCGGTCTGGGTATGGAGCTCTGGCTGGCTCCCGTGCTGCGGGTGCCTTGGTCCCTCTGCTGGCTCATGGTGACATTGGCGGCTGGTGTCGATCCTCCAGACGGTCCCAGAATTGCCTGCATATGGCGTCGAACCTCGTCTAGAAGGCTGCGGCCCAGTCAGTGGGTGCTTGTTTTGTGTGGGCGGCGGTGCCGTCAGCCATCTTCGTGAGGCCTTGTGTCTCCCGCCAGTCAGCCTTGCGACCCGATTCAGGTTGTGGGTGAGTGCTCACGTTTGGGGGTAGACCGGGATGACCCCCGCCAGTCCATGGGGGGGGTGGGGGGGGGAACATGGACCCTGGTACAGAAGCTCAGTTGGTCATGGCGGAAAAAGGAGCGGTCATCTCCCCTGCACTCGCCATGCTTGTAGGCCTCAGACTCCTATCAGGGAAATGTTGCTCCAAGCTGTTCGTAAGTGATCAATTCGTGCTGCTAGTTGTCGCCTTTTGTTTGGTGACTGTCTCGCTTAAATAAATTGTCGTTTGGGCAATGAAAGTTCACTTTAATCGTTGCCTGCAGCAGGAGCTGTTGAGGTTTGCTTTCTCTCATCTCTGCGGTCAGGCCCGCCCCGCCCCAACAGTATTTTTTTTTAAACATAAAAAACTTACAATGCACTGTTCCAAATTATTACGCACAGTAAGTTTCAAAACACTTCATAGGTTGTAAAGAACTGAAAATTGTCATTTGTTGTGTTTGCAGCATATTTACTGAAATCAAAAGCTATTTCAATCAAACTTATAACAACATTTTAACTTCTCAAACATTTTAACAGGTCATGTTACATTTTAACATAGGACCTCTTATTTGATAGCAGCTTCACAAGTCTTGCATCCATTGAACTTGTGAGTTTTTTGACAGTTTCTGCTTGAATTTGTTTGCAAGATGTCAGAATAGCCTCCCAGAGCTGCTGTTTGGATGTAAACTGCCTCTCACCCTCATAGATCATTTGCTTGAGGATGCTCCAAAGGTTCTCAATAGGATTGAGGTCAGGGGAGAAGGGAGGCCACACCATGACTTTCTCTCCTTTTATCCCAATAGCAGCCATTGATGCAGATGTATTCTTTGCAGCATGAGATGGTGCATTGTCATGCATGAAGATGATTTTATTACGGAAAGCATAGTTCTTCCTTCTATACCAGTGATCAGTCAGAAACTCCACATACTTTGCAGAGGTCATCTTTACACCTTCGGGGACCCTAAAGGGGCTGACCACCACTGCCTTGCTGATGTCGCAGCCTTGTTGGAACAGGGTGTCCGTCCACCAGCCATCCATCTGGACCATCCAGGGTTGCATGGCACTCATCAGTGAACAGGACTGTTAGTCTTCATGTATTTTTCTGCCCAATGCAGCCGTTTCTGCTTGTGAGCATTGGTTAGTGGTGGCCGAATAAAAGGTTTATGCACAGTTGCAAGACTCTGGAGGACACCTTGATGTCTGTGAGACTCCAGAGGCACCAGCAGCTTTAAATATCTGTTTGCTGCTATGTAATGGTATTTTAGCAGCTGCTCTCTTGATCTGATGCATGGATCTGGCAGAAATCTTCCTCAATGTGCCTTTATCTGCACGAACCCATCTGCCACAAATCTCTTAATAGTGCGATGATCACGCTTACGTTTTCGTGAAACATCTAATGTTTTCATACCTTGTCCAAGGCATTGAACTATTTCACTCTTTTCGGCAGCAGAGAGATTCTTTTTCTTCCCCATATTGCATGAAAATGGTGCTCTGCTTAATAATGTGGAACACCCTCCTTTAGTAGTTTTTCCTTAAATTGGGCTCACCTGGCAATCTAATTATCACAGGTGTCCGAGATTGTTTTCGGTGATCAAAAGAGCCCTGAGACACAATGCCATCCATGAGTTAAACTGAAAAACAAAATATTTAATCTTTGTGACACTTAAATAAAATTTACAAAATAATTTGGAACAGGGTGTAATTGGACTATTTTAGCAGAATAAGAGTTTATACTCTTTACAGAATGGCAATTTTCCTATAGACGTCAATGGAGGATTTGCTATTCAGTATGCAGATTAAACCTTTACTCTGCTAGGAGTATCCAACCCTGTTTCTTTAAGTGATGTTTTGATATATTTTTATTAAAAACAGGATTAATGTCAGGTATGACAACTTAGTGAAATTATTTATAATAATGTCAAAAATAGTAGAGTCTGCAATTATTAGGCGATCTGGAATACTACAATAATGTCACAGAAAGAACGAGTATTAATTTTAAAAAATGGCCATAAGAAAAATGACAAACACATTGCTAGATAAAATAAATACAATCCGGAGCTTTTTATTAAGGTGAAAGTGACAGAATTTAGAGTTATTTTCTGTGCAAGGGGTAAAGCATGTAGGTCTCCTTCATGTTCCCAAAACAGCTCTGATGTGTCGAAGCATGGACTCCACAAGACCTCTGAACGTGTCCTGTAATATTTAGCACCAAGACATTAGCAGCAGATCCTTTAAATCCTGCAAGTTGGGGCCTCCAGTTGTCTAGCCAACACTATTTGGCCCTTCTCAAAGTCACTGAGATCTTTTCATTTGCTGTAACAGGCAGCTGGGCACTTATGTAACAGTTTTCCAGGAGTTGGAGCCCAGTTGCAGGAGATGGCACAGGAAAGAGGCAAAAACCAGAAGCGCAGTACAGATTAAGGGGAAATCCAAAGGAAGGGTCAGGCAAAAAGCAGGAGTCAGGGCTGGCAGCGCAGTAACGTAGTCGGTAAAGCAGGCAGAGGTCAGAGTCCAGGAAATCAGTCAGTAGCAAATCAAAGATCCGTCAGGAAACACCAAACGGGCAAAATGACCAGATCCTAGGTTTCAGGCAGAGCTGGCTTATACAGCCTGCTAATTAGATGCAGCTGACCCTAATTGTAAAAGGGTTGCAGGTGGATTAGTACTGCTCATTCCAGGCAAGGGGTCAGGAAGCAGAATAATGCAAACAGAAACTGAAGTCCCCTGGTGGATATCATGGCAGAGAACCTGACTTGGATGCTAGAGCTGTGAGTTCAAACCCAGCCAGGTCTCTTAAAGGGGTGGCCACACCTTGCTGTCTGCAGGGCTCTGGGTGTACTGTGACACTTGCCCATTTCTCATGCTTCCAACACCTGAAATTCAAGAATTGATTGTTCACTTGCTGCCTAATACAACCCACGCCTTGACAGGTGCAATTGTAACAATATAATGAAGGTTATCAACTTCCCCTGTCCGTAATTTTAATGTTTTGGGTGATCAGTGTATATGGATTAGTATGTGTTCATATATATCTTGTTATGACTGAATCACATTTACATACTCCAGAGTCTGCTGACCATCATAAGGGTCCAGGATGTTAATCCAATTAAAATCAATTAATCATACTCCTAAATGGACTAGAGGTGTGATGCGCTGTATCGAACTAGTACAGAGGTGGGGGGGCAGCCTAAACTCTCTCTAAGGTTCCACACTCTCGGTGGGAAGGTTTCTATTGTATTTAATTTAGCTATGGGAGAGGAAGGAGCAATGTAAATAAAGCATAGAGGACAGAGGAAACAGCTATATAATACATATAACCAATTCATCCACCATCTACATGTATTGTATTGTATTGTTTTTTAAAAATATGTACTTAAATTAATCTAGTTTACTTTTTTTTTCCTATGTGTGTCTGAGGTGCTGTGTGTGTGTGTGTGTTAAGGGTGCTGATGTGTTTGAGGAGTGCTGTGTGTGGGTGGGGCAGTGCTGTGTGTGGGTGGGGGGGTGCAGTGTGTGTGTGAGAGGTGCTGTGCGTGTGAGAGGTGCTGTGTGTGTGAAGGGTGCTGTGCGTATGTGAAGTGGACAATGAGTGTAAGAGGGGGGCAGTGCATGTGTGAGGGGTGGAGTGTGTATTAGACGGGCAGTCTGTATATGTGTGTGTGTGAGGGGTGTAGTGTGTGTTTGTGTGTGAAGGGTGCATAGGGTCTATGCTGTGTGTAGGTGGGTGAGTTGTGAAAATCTATCTTAATATCTCTCCCTCCCTTCTTCTTACTTTTTATCAGGGACGGGGGACATAATGCTGCAAGCCCTGGTGGTCCAATGTTGGCATGTTCACTTTAGCCTATAGCTCCTTCGGCTACAGCTGAGTCTCCTGTCCTTCTGTGAGCACAGCACTGTATTGGAACATTGCCATGGTAACGTGGGGCAACGCTCCGACCAGCCTGCTCGCGAGAGGAACATAGAGCCTCCCAGGCCCTTCCCTCCTTCTGCTGGAACTAAGTGCCAGCGGGCTGGTGAAAGAGGTTAGAACTTTGATTTTCTCACCAGCCTGAGAGGGCTTACAGCAAGGCTGGCTCTGTATGAGTCAGCAGCAAAGAGTTAAGGATCTCCAGTGCCAGCCTTGGTCCATTAAAGCCCACTGGGCATTTTCTGCAGAACCCACCATCGCCCACCTAAAAAAATCCCAAACTGCCCACTGGTGGGCATTAGGGACCAGGTTAACTACCCCTGGTTCAGTGCAATGTAAACAGAAATGCTGGAGGGATACACATACACATAGACTTTCTCAATGATTTTTGGGAAAATCCATCACTTATTCATTCATAAGAATCACTAAAGAACTAATTACCTTTGTATTGAAATATGCAAAAAAAACATGACATGCGCATAGTCGTCCCACTGGCATATTACTAAAAAAACTTCAAATAAAACATAGACACCATTAAATTTGGATCAAAATGATCACAGCTTTATTAGAATTCTTTATAAAAATAAATGTAATAATTAAATAAAGGTCATTGTCAACAACACTTCATCACAGCACCGTAACTTTTACATATTTCTTTATCCACAGACACTGACCCCACCATAAATAACAATACATCAATATAACCATATAACAATACTATAACACAAACAGTTAACACAGCCACCAAGGCCATCCATTTCCACTTGTAGGGGTACCGAGATAACCCTACACCCCCAGGTTCCGAGCTACTGATGAGTTGGAACCTACCAAACCAATCCAAACTTACTATTGATCCTGAACTTAAAATATATCCCACCTGCTGAACCAACTTACCCCCCAATTTCTCTCCATCCCCCACCACTGCTCAGAGTTTGACCTCCTTAAGCTACAGGATTGTCCCCACCCCACCTGAACAAAGCCAGCCTAAAACTGTCCTGAAAGCCCATATTCAAGAAATCAATGCCCACATCTGAAAGATGCGCCCCATCATGCTGGAAATAACATGGAAGCATCGCTTCCAACTATTGGTGCATAACTACCACCCCTTATATATTTAATATAGACTGCCATTAATTTACTGATCTTACGTTGGCACCTGGCAATTGCCGTAGGATCCCTAGCGTAGCGCCAATGAAGGCGCAGTACTATTTCAGACCAAATACAGTAATCACACCCGGGATTAACCCCTTAACCTTATTCACATCTCTCTTAATGCAGCACACCAATTCCCTCTGGGGCACAAGTTCATTCCCCTCGTGAATCAGAATGAAATACGGAGTCTGTCCCTGACCTAGCCTCCAAAACAACTCAGAACAGATATCATGTCACCCAAAACATCGAAAACCAATCCAGTGCTGACAAACCAAATCTTGCGGAAAGCCCAGCTGCATATCTTGGTAACGTACTGCGGCTCTCCGTTTAGACCAACAGATGAAGGAGTGACCAATCAGCCAGGCGACCCATCCTGTATGAAGAAAGAAAACAACTTAACATCACCATAATGTATAACAACCCCTACCAAAATCCATGAATCACACCAAACGATCGGGCTGTATGTAGGACCGGAACCTAAGTGATTCCCACAGCACGATCTTCTTAACCAACTCATCACCCGACCCCAACCTAACTGACTCCATGGCCCCCCTACATGAAATGAATGCGTGCCAAACTGTGACCCATCCAAACCCAAACAACCCAAACCTAGCTGAACAACACAAGCAAACTGATACTTGAACATGGAAGAACCATCCTCATTTATAAGGAGCCCCCAACGTTGGAAAAGACTGCCATGTACTTGCCCCTGGTAAGGAAAACAAATTAATTAAGCATCCCTTACCAAAGACATCAGTTTTAGAATGTCAAAGATGAATCGATACTCTGTTACCCCAAATTTCCACGTCCAAAGCCTGGAGACCACCTCCACAAAGACGGGTACTACTGACCAATTCACCAACCTAAAATACCCCCAAAAAAGGCCCAAACAAAAACAACTGAAAACAAAAAATCTCATATCGAGAAAAACAAATACTCGGTAATACCCCCAAGAGCCAGTGAAGCAATGCAAAAGACACAGGCCTCCTAGAGTCCGAAGCCTTCTTCCCTTTCCGAAAAACCTTAAGAGCCTGAAGAACCAGGAAGTGTTTTGTCAAGTCCTCCCATCCATTCAGTTTAAAGAGGTAGGCCAACACCACCAAATACCAATTGACCACTGACTGAGAAGCCCCAGAGGCAAACACTTGACAAAGAAACCACAACAGGGCCTCAAGACGAAACCCCACTGACTGATGCCGCCCCGTGCAAGCCAAGGTTCCTTCCCAAACCTTACTGTAGGCTGCCATGTGCCCAGCACCAACGAATCCCTGTTCAGACCCCCAAGCAGGAAGTTCCTAGCCACCACATTTCGTCCGTACAGGCCAAACCATCTGCGCTCCAGGAGCCTCTGCACGAAACCTCGCCCACTGGAAATGAGAAAGCGAATCAGCAATTACATTCAATAACCCAGGCACATGACGCGCATGCAACTCAAAACAAAATGACAAAGTAGTCTTACAACCGGGATCAAAGAAGCCAAAAAATTATTCACCATATACACAACTGCCTTGTTGGTAAAGAAAATGACCTTCATGTCCCTTAAAACATGCCCCCATAACAATAAAGCAACCACCAACGGGAACAATTCCAAAAGGCTAAATTCCTAATAAGTGAGTGTATCTGGAATTCTAAGGCCCCATCCGGCTTGCAACTGCACGATCAGGCAATCTGGGAAAAGAATACGACATCCTGGGTAGGCTGAACTTCACCAGAACTCCCAGCCCCCCTACAACCATGGACCTGGTGTCCTGTCCCTTGCGGCCATATTCAGCCTGTGAAGAACCCCTCGCCCCGACCAACAGGAGAGCCTCCACAGATGTACCTAGGACTAAGGCCTAACAGGTGTGCCATAACACACCCTTTCCTGGCCACTGTTAGGGGAGCCCCTACCGTCACTACGCTGTCTGCTCTGTCGATGGCTCCTGGAGTGATTGAGCGATTCCCCAATGCCAGTCCTGCTATAGACAGAAGAACCTAGGGACCTGGCATCTCTATCCTGAGTGCGGCAGTCCTGCCCACCCATTGAAGGTCACACACAGGGTGTCTCACAATATCCCTATTCATCAGGGACACACTGCTGTGGCCTATGGTGATGTTGTTGCCCGTCACCTGAGTCTCCTGCTGGGTGCTTTGCACCGCTACCTGGAGCCGCCGCTATCTGGAGACTCCTCATCCCCAACCCTCCAGAACTCAATCATTGCGGCGGCCTAGTTCAGCGTGTCTTTGAGGCCACAGGTGCAGCTGCTCCCTCCATTGAAGTTCCCAAGTGTTTCTCAAGCAAGGCAACCCCACACTCTCTGACAGCTGCTTTGACACCCTCCAATATCGCCTCCATATCACGATCTGCAACCATGGAATCCATCTGAAAGTCAAAACAGAAAATCCACACCAGCCTGTTAGAAACAAGTAAATGACAATTTCCAATTAAAATGGCTTATCAGCCAAAATGTCCACTATATAGGACAATTCACCATGACGCCACCACTTCCGGGTGGCAAAATTCAAAGCGTTCTAGTGCTAGTGCGGGCTAGCTAGTAATACTCACCGTTAGGTCCATGCTCAGAGGTCAGTCCGCAGCTCTCATTCACCTTGAAGTGTCGGAGCAGCTAGGTCACTGACTTGGAGTGCACGCCATCCATGGTGGCTGCTCCCGGCACCTGAGCCCGAACACTTGCTGGGTTCTAGAACCCCGGCTATTCCAACCCACAGTCGGGGCGATTCTGAGAGGTGGAGGGGTCTGGCACTTACAGAATGAAGAACAGAAGAAGTGCCCTCAGTAGTCGGAGAGCAAGTCAGGAAGGGATGCAGGAGGAGGAGGTCCTGGCAGGGGAGTAGCTCTGCTCCAGAGTCCTGTGTGGGCTCCGCATGCCACAGCCACCATGGATGCACATTTATAAAGATACATGACTAGCTATGACAGGCTTTCCTGTCAAAACAAGATGTTTTCCTGAAGGTCAATTATTTTGATCTTTGTTTCTACAGAAAACAAACACAATTCTTGCAGCACCCTTTTCTACAACCATGATTCCACTGGTCATTTCTTGGAACTGGCTTTGACTACTAGCCCTTGAACAGTGTTTGTAGCTCAGCTCTGATTGTAAGGGTTATTTTTTCGATTTTCCTATTTAAGCTGTGCATGAAGGGTTATCCTTGAGAGCTGCTGAAATCATGAAAATGCTGATGTCTTGAAGCAGTTGGCTTTAAAAATAAAATCAAAACATATTCTGTACAATAATATGAAGAAGAAAAAGAGGGACAAACATCCTTGCAGAGAATGCCAGGTAAGTCAGCTATTTACATCTATGGGACAGTTTTCTCTTCAGGTCAGTGGAAACCGCTCACGTTCTGCCACCCGAAAATATCTTGGTGCCCATTGTTTACAAACATTCTGAAATGCAGTATGCGGTATATCAACACCAAGCCCCGCCTCCTTAAACTCTAACTGACAGAATTCAGATTTCCGGCCTCCTAGCCATAGACATAGAATACCTAGACGCCGCATTGATTGCTGAGCGACGAGGAATGCGGGCGCCATCTTGGACCGGTCGTCGCTCTACTGAAGCTATTGAAGAACCCTTAGAAAGTCCATCTCACAAAAGGTTAGTGAAGGACTTGGGGCACTTATAGTCCTTAATACCCCTAGTCCTTAATACCCCTACCCCTACAGTGTTAATACCCCTACCCCATCCTATCCCAGCACACATAGTCCGTAATACCCCTACCCCAGCACACACAGTGTTAATAACCCTACCCCAGCACACTATGTGTATTAACACTGTTTGTGCTGGGGTAGGGGTAGTAACACTGTGTGCTGGGATAGGCTGGGGTAGGGGTATTAACACTGTAGGGGTAGGGGTATTAATGACAAGGGGTAGGACTAGGGGTAGGGGTATTAAGGACTAGGACTAGGGGTATTAAGGGGTAGGGGTATTAAGGACTATAAGTGCCCCAAGTCTTTCACTTACCTTTTGTGAGATGGACTTTCCAAGGGTTCTTCCATAGCTTCAGTAGAGCGGCGACCGGTTCAAGATGGGTGTAGGGGTGTCAAGATGGCGCCCGCATTCCTCGACGCTCAGCACACAATGCCATAGACGTGCAGCGTCTGTGTTCTATGTCTATGCTCCTAGCTATGTCAAGGCCCATTCCAGCTAGCTTTGCTGTTCTATGGGCATCAAATTACTTACATGCAAATTAGTTTATACAATTCATTCGTCATTTATCTAATTACCAACTATTGGCTTCCTCCTTGTCACTAGATTATTTAACAATAGGGGATACATAATTCAATGGAGAGTACCAGGAGCAGGGTACCCCCAAAGCCCCTCACTGATTGCCATGGGTAAGGTGTTAAAAAAGTGAATTCAACTAATGGCCCCTTCCTGCTCTCCAGGAGTTGGGGGTTTAGTTTAACATGGGGCGGGGTATCCCAGTGCAGGGTCCCCCATTCCCATTTGGTGGGTGAAGGGTTAAATTTTGCTGGGGAAGTCCCTGCGATATGTGGTTAGACATAGAACCACGGTTCATCCAATTGAAACTGAAGGCATCACAGAAAATGATGCAGAATTCTATTTTACAACAGAATTCTATTTTTAAAACACACTTTGTACTGACAGGGTTTTTTACTGCCTGCTCCCATTTATATACTGACTGGAATCCATATTGGACGTGTATGCAGCTGGCTAATATACTGCCCTTCAGGGATCATATACTGTCTGTTTTGCATTCAGTGCTCTGATATGAACTGCTGTGCACCTAGTGTACACTTAGAGGCAGGTTTGGCCTAAGACATTGTGCTGCCTGGGTCCAAGATTGAAATTCTGCCCCCCTCACCAAAACCACGCCCACCAAAACAAGCCCATGTCCATTATATTATGCATCTGCCCCTGCCATTATTACATGAGGAAATCATTTTGCTGAAGAATTGATGTCCCTGATAAGGAAATATTTCCATAGAGCTGCAGAGCACCAAACCTAGATTACCCACCCTAAAATAGTTTTTACCTAAAAAAAAAAAAAAAAACATGCCTCTGGCCTGAACATAACCATCTCTGTCCATGTAGTAAGTTAGAAAACAAAATGGTTGACTTGATTGTAGCCCATGGAACAGCGCAGCTAAGGGGAGTGGGCCTTGACAGAGCTAGGAGGCAGGCATATGTAGAGGTGGGGTTTAGTGGTCAGGTGGTTATGGGGGCATGGCTTCAGTTATTAATATTTTAATTTTAGATTAGGGGCCATTTTAATTAGCCATACTTACCTGTTGTTGTCCCACCCTCTCTCCCTTTAATTTTGGGTCATGGTGCTCTTCGTTTATCTCGTTGGGTCACGGTGGCGGTGAATGGTTAAGATATTGGGGTATAGGTAGTTTTTGGTAGCTGTGATGTTTGGTAACAATACTCACATGGTTTAATTTGTTAATTGGTAGGTTGGAGCCCGTAGGTGGTCTCAATGTGGTGGTATAGGGGTGTCTCGGTATGCCTCTACCATGTTAAACCGGTGGGTGTAGGGGTGTCTTGGTATGCCACTACAATGTTAAATCACTTGGTGTATAAGGCCTGTTGTGGCCATGTTTGGATAATTCATATCTGGTTATATGGATTATTATTAGCTTATGTTATGGGTCATTGCCGATGGGTATAGTAGTTACAGTTGGGGTGAATTATGTGTCTATGTAAAAATTGGGAATGTTTGGCAATGACCCATTTTGTTATTTATATATTTAATTATATTTATAATTTATCAAAGCCGTGACAATTTTATCCACTTTAAATTGGTGTCCGTGTCTTTTTTGGGTGGGGTCCAAGGTTATGTTTTAGGACATATGCACAAAAGGACAACTATGCGCATGTCAAGTGTCGATTCTTATATTTCAGCAGAACACATTAAAAAAAGCTCAACTTTTTTTTCTTAAATCTCTTTTACATGCCCTAAATGTGTCATCCTAAGCATGTTGAGGCAACACTTTACATCCACTGTTTATATATGCAAACTTGCGGTAAGCGTTATAAAATATATCATCTAAAGCAGATAATTGCTTTGAGATCAGACTCATTAGTTTTCTTTTTCACACACACACACTGCGATCTCTTATTTCTCGTTTTTCTGTCATCACTGCATTTATAATACGTAACATCCTTGGAGAATTGGAAAAGCATGGACTGAATATTTATAAAACGCAAAAAGTGTAGCTCACTACTTTAAAAATAAATAAAAATATCATTAAAATTAGACATAGAGGCCTTGATTTAACAAGCTTTCCAAATACTGCAATACTGTATATCTCCCAAGTGGACCTATTTAGGAGGGACAGTCCCTATTTTTGGTCCATATCTTTCTGACCTTCTTTTCTATCGTAATGTCCATCTTTTGTAGGCGCTCCATATTGTGCTACCTACTACCTGTTGTAGTGGTTATGGTGCCAGGTTATTTGCCCTCCCAAAGTTAGTAGCCAAACAATTTAAGAACTGTTTGAAAACTTATCAGGTGCCTGTCAGTCTGTCACCACCTCCCTGGAGTCGGAAGCTTCTTGAAGAAGCTCCCATTAGCTCCACTGACTTTAGATCAGAGCATGAGTTTTCTCTGCAGAAGAAGTGACTGGCGCCTGGTAGACCCCTGGTAAATTATCAAACTGTCCCTAAATGTTTGATCACTTACACTGGGAATGCACCGGGGCAATATTAGCACCATAACCACTGCAGCTGGCTTAACTAGTGTTTGGTGTGTTAATTTTGCTTATGCTGTTCAGGAGTGCCCTCTTGTGTAAAATTGCTTCATAGCAGCTTGACACTATGCTGTCAGTGTGGTATCAGTTCATATGTTGCAGAATATGCAGTTTTTATTAACCGCCGTCTACAAATTAATAAAACATTTTTTTGTTTTCTTTTAATACATTTCTATTTAATTTCCTCCTTACCTGTTCGAATATGGACAGCAATCATAGGCTGTAAGGATTTTATATTTTTAGCTGCTTCCCTGCATCTGTTAAATATCAGGGTCGTCGCTAGGTAGAAACATCTGGGGGTTGAATCCAAAGTAGAAACTTGATGGTCCCTCACACCAAGAAAGAGGTGAGGATAAATCATGACCTATGTGGAACAAGGGTGAATACGCCCGCTAACACAGATAGCGATATATCTTAAGAAGAGAGTCCATGGTTTGTGAACTTCGTAAATATACATTTTATTAAAGTTGGACATAGCAGCATAAATCCAAAAAGTTTTTCACAGTATAATCACCCAACGTGTTTCGTGCCACATGTCACTTACTCTTTGGCAGGTTAAGATTAAGTGCCATGCGGCAAGCAACGCCGCAGAAACAGTTATTGACAGATTATCCGCTGCAGACAGAAACAGGACAAACTGGAAAAGTGCCATTCTCCTGGACTCAGAACGGAGAAGTGATCGTAAAACTCAGATTTAGGCTGAATTTGAGTTAGACGGGACTAATGCTAATCACAGATATTTATTAGTATTGTTATTATTAATCAATAATTTAACTTCTCTCAAGAGACTTGTCTGGGAATATTCCCATATGATGAGTCTTGCTTACAAGAGTGCGCTACTAAAATTGCATTTTGGCTATTTTGGCCTGAAATGTTAAATTCACTTTAAATTCCCACTTTAGTAAAGAACCCTGACACCAACACTGCTCGTCTGTCTCCTTCAGTACTTGCAGTCAGTGTCTGGATGAATCCTGCTTGGAAGTATAGATGATTTTACTGCTCTTCCTCAGCTTCCCACCCTCTGTTGGTTAGTTGTCCCTTGATCTGTGAATTAAATAAACATTTAGTGGCTGTTTAACCATCAATCATACTTTTCTTCTTGATTGGACAAAATAAGATATAGTCCACATGATTGGGCAAACTTCTTCTCCATCATGGCAAACTAAGCAGCTTATCTGTCCCCACCCAAAAATAAAAAGGAAAAAATTAACAGACTTTTCCATTCCCCTTTTCACTCCAAATGACAAGGCAAAAGGAGGATGTTCAGGCTTGTTTCCTTGAAATTTTGGCATGTACTCATAAACAGGAATTTGGGCCAATCACCCTAACTCAGTCAAATTGCGGTTCTGCCCAAAACAAATTTACATGTCATGTGTGTTGGTGGGGTAGAGTGTGTCTGCTTGTGTAGAAAAGGGAGGACAATTGGAGAAACGTGAGAGAGAGAAAAATAATAATAATATATATATATACATATCTCATTGGCCAATATGGCCTGCAGCTTGGCCAGGTTCTCTCTCATATTGAAATATTGGTCCCTGTGAGGCATCTCCAATGCCACTTGCCTGTCCCTCCTGCGCATCTCGGCCTGATCCTGCTCTTCTCACTGTACCTTTACTCAACTTATCCTTTATTCCTTCCTATTTCCACCTCACCCAGAGATCTCCTCTTCCCAAACTCCTTTACACAAACAGGCACACAAACACTCACACTGAAAAACAAATAGGATAAAAATGTGCATGTATAAAAATATAGTTGTGGCATAAAGTTCTGTTGGAATGTAATGTAAAAGGAAATATATGAAGTAATGTGAAATGTTAACGCTACAGTACTCTGTGTGCTGTAATATTTATATATATATATATATATCAGAAAGGGTGAAATTGTGGTAAAATGAACGCATGGCAAAAGAGCCTTGGTCCTTAAGTGAGCAAACTAAACTGAAGTTATCACTAGATACAGGTTAAACATCTAACTTAAGATTATAAGTTTAAATCACGGAGGTCTGGTTATAACAAGTCTTACGGAACCAAAAATTAAAATAAGGTTTCACAACAAACTTTAAAAACAATGTAGAACAAGTGTTTAAGATTTTTGATCATCAGTTTATTAAAGATTGGATAACCCTATATTCCACTACACAATCATTTTAGCTTTCAATGAAGTTCACTGGACCAACATTTATATTACAACCCCCAGGTGCCAAAATGCACCATATTATTGTATTATGAACCATTTCTATGCGGTTTTATTGTCTACAAAACCAAAATTAAGTCACAACAGCGATTCAAGGTTACAATTTCGCATAATAAATCACCCAAACTAGCTGTATACATGGATACACAGGACAGGTGTTGGTTTCAATTACATTCTTTTCCAGGTATTCCTTTACCAATTATGGGCAACATGTCCAGAAAAACACTTTTGTGTCTCTAGTCCCTGTACACTCAAAAATGTATGAAACATTTAGCACTGTTGCTTGTGGGATTTAGCAACATCTGGACGGAGGGCCAGGCTGGTCCCAATGGGAAAGAAGGTTTGTTAACTTAAGGCATCATACGAAGGGCACCATCAAGTCGAATAACTTCACCATTAAGCAGAGGGTTCTCAACAATGGCCTGTACCAGATGGGCATACTCTGCTGGGTCCCCTAACCTGCTGGGAAAAGGTACTTGCTTCGCCAAGAATGACCTCACTTTCTCAGGAAGTCCAGCAAGAAGAGGTGTTGCAAATAAACCTGAAAAAAAAAAAAAAAGGACAGAGTTCTAAGGCAATTGCAGGAGGGGATGGAAAGCGAAATATGCAGGTACCCAATTTTGGCCTAGTTGCATCTCAAAAACAAATATTCAATGGCTTAGGTGCTGGAACAGTTTTAGTTGTTTTATTATTTATTTATTCTTGGGGTGGGGAACAGTACCAGTACCAGTGAAGACTTACTCTGACCAAAAACAGGGTTTTTGTTTTGTTTGAGGAATCCTTTAAAATGTTGTCAGGGAGGAACTCGAATTAAAAAAAAATAAAAAAATAAAAATTTGCCATTCCCCTGATCATTATTTTATTTATTTCTTTTTTCGTTATTTATTAATGAAAAGATTTAAAAAAAAAAAAAAAAGTCAAATACTGCTATAGCGTTATGTTATTTAATTCCAAAACAACTACAGAATCATGTCTTCCTGACAGTCGCTAGAGGCGCATCTGTGACGCTGGTTGCGAAATTCGCATTCAGCGTGCAGAACGTCCACAGAAAAGCATTGAGAAAGCGCTCGCGCGAGGGAGCCCGGCACTGGATTAAGGTAAGCTGCTGAAGGGGTTTCAACCCCTTCAGCGCCAAGGGAGGAGGACCCTGAGGGTGGGGGCACCCTTAAGGCACTATAGTGTCAGGAAAACGGGTTTGTTTTCCTGACACTATAGTGATCCTTTAATAATTAACCACATTTTTATTAACTATATATTTATATCACTACAAATCATTATATAGTGAATAAAGCCCATATGAATATGTAGCTATTTACTTATCTATACATAGTACAGTAAATAGCAGAAGGCATCCCAGTAGATGTAGAGATGTCAGTAGCGCACAAACATAAATAGCTACTTCTCTAACCTTTTGGGGAAGAAAATGGTGTTTACAAGAACTATTAGTATTAAAAAAGTAAACTCAAGACATATGGATTAGAGGAACTTTAACAAGATGCATGCACACAGATACCATGCTAAACAGTTTAGCTTGGTTAAACCTTGATTATCATTGCATAAGCCAATCTATAGCATGGTACAACCGCACAGAAATCCTAAAGCTGTAGAGTTCTAATCACACATGTCTATTCGCATAAAAAATGCCAGACTTTAACAAAATGATGGTGGATTACCTGGGGCAATGGTCATTACTCTGATCCCAATAGGAGCCAGATCACGTGCAATAGGGAGCGTCATCCCTACAATCCCTCCTTTGGAGGCTGAATATGCCGCCTGTCCCACCTGTCAGGGGATGTGAAAACCAAGTTTACAGGTTACCAAGATGAAGGCAAACAGATCTATATATGCAGCAGTGAAACAAAACATAACAGGGGTTTAAGAGGAGTTTATCCCCCAGCTGCAGTTCCACATGCATTATCAGACATAAGTAGGACAAAAACGCATATAGCGAAGAAGTAAAAAATTTTCCTTACCAAAGTCTAAGCTAGATGGGTTGGCTTATAGCAGCAATTTTTACAAACGCCTGACGTTATAAGTCATTCAAAAAGCAGTGTGGGATGCTCTTTGCAATGATAGTGCTTAGACTGAATCTTCAATTCAATTTTTTCACCACACAATACACAGTGCATGTCATTAAGCCCTTATAGTAAAACAATGACAACCCATACAAACACTGTGCTCTCTGCCTCATTTTCATATCATTTAGAATAACAGGTCTATCAAATGGAATGTATAGTTAGTCTACTATTACACAGTAATCTAGGATGAAGAAGAAAAAAGACTTAAGTCCATCAAGTTCAACACGGTTTCTTTCTGGTGCCAAAAACAGAATAGTTTGAGGAGAAACATGAAGTCTAACCTGTCCGTCAAAGGCAGCAACACTGGCCGTGTTAACGATCACCCCTCTGTGCCCATCCTCATTGGGTTCATTCTTTGCCATTTCACCAGCAGCCAGGCGGATAGCATTAAAAGTCCCGCAGATGTTCACCTATGGAGACAAACATATATTGAATTTTTCTGAACAATGTTTTTACAGTCAATACTGCTAGTACTATTAATGCACTGAAGTAATAAAGACCAAGGTCTCATCTATTAAATAGTGAATTTGTAGCACTGTGTCCCAGATTTTTTGCTTACTCTAGTAAATAAGCCATTTTGGCTTGATTTGTAAAGGCAAGTCCAGACCATTGTGCTGCATGAATGCAAGGATAAACTCAACAAAAATGCACTTCTCCCCCCTACCCTCAGGGTCCCACTCTCGCCGGGCTGAAGGGAGAGGAAGGAGCAAGAGCCGCTCGCGCATTCAATTAATGCTTTCCTATGGACGTCAGCGTCTTCTCACTGTGATTTTCACAGTGAGAAGCGCGGAACCTCCTCTAGCGGCTGTCAATGAGACAGCCACTAGAGGCTGGATTAACCCTATTGTAAACATAGCAGTTTCTCTGAAACTGATATGTTTACAGCTGCAGGGTTAACTCTAGATGGACCAGGCACCCAGACCACTTAATTGAGCTGAAGTGGTCTGGGTGCCTACAGCGGTCCTTTATCTCCAAATAACCAGCCTTCAAAGCCCATGACATAAATGTAATATGCCCTCTATTGGAAATTCATGACATTACCTGAACACTAGCTAGCACAATATATAGTTTAAATATTATTAGATGCACATACACCATTTAAATTTGCTTGACAAACACGAACAATAAAAATGTTTAAATTTATCAAATAACGCAATAACAATTTCCATTTCAAAATGTAAACTCACATTTACAACTCTGTGGAAATCCTCCAAACTGTGGGGAAGCTGTTTGTTTGCATTGTATGTCTTAAATGCAACAGCAATCCCAGCGCAGTTAACCAAAATATCAACACGTCCAAACTTTGATTGCGCCAACTGCAATGCGTTCTTCACATCAGCCTCAGAGGTCACCTAGGTTTAATCATAAAAAATGGACTCTGTGTATATAAATGTGAATCTTAATCCCAAAGTATTTATACAAAATGAAACTCTTAAGAGTAGATGTTCAACGGTATCCTCTTTCATGTACCAGTATTGGAGATAGGCAAAAACAACCATCACAAGTGAAATGCAAATGAAGGCCGGTGGGAAAAGCATCTTTTTTAGCAATGTGCAATAAATAGATAAGGAATCTCAACACTCATGGATAAGATCATCTCAGAAGGTTTAAACTATTGATGGACTTCCATAGACACCCCCTCCATTTGTACCCTAGCACATGTGTGGATGTAAGATTAAAAGATGCATTGCGCCAATGTATTGAAATAATTTAGAGTTTGCATTAGCGGCTTATGGAAGTGGTGTACCTAATCATTCCCCATGCTATTAGTTGGCTACTTACAAATAAAGCAACATTCTGACACAAATTAAATACACAACAGCACGTGTTTGTATATCAGCATTATTTTGGTTAAAAGCATGTGAGGTATCTAAGTATACGCACGTCAGTTGGAGCAAAGGCACACTTATCCCCCAAAGACTGAGCCACACTGCTTCCTTCAGACTTGGGCAAATCTACGATGACAGCGCTGGCTCCCTGGCGCACCAACCGCTCTACAGTGGCACGACCAAGACCAGAGGCTCCTCCAGTGACTATGCCAACCAGGCCCTGTTAAAGGTACATATATAATAAAAAATAAAACAAACAGACTTAGTCAAGTAGACATTTTCACAATAATTGCAAGGTTTAAAGTTTACACATTATTTCTGGCCAAAAGTTATTACAGATTTCTACATTGCAAAAATCACTTTAGGCAAACTTTGCCTTTATATTTATTGTGGCAGTTCAGTAAGCATGTCTGTCAAGGACATTATTATTATTGCCATTTATATAGCGCCAACAGATTCCGTAGCGCTTTACAATATTATGAGAGGGGGGAATTTAACTATAAATAGGACAATTACAAGAAAACTTACAGGAACGATAGGTTAAAGAGGACCCTGCTCAAAAGAGCTTACATTCTCTAGGACATGCACAGTTATTTCAGTAAATATCGGAGCATCGTTACACTGAAGAATCATATCATATGCTCTGGCAAACAGAAATGGTTAAACCCCAATGTCACATTATACTTCAAGCACTTACATTTATTGCAAGGAATCCAAAATAGACAGCATAGCACAAATGCAAAAATCAACACATTTTACAAACTCGCACAGGTAGGTAGGTACAACTAACACCACACAATAAAATAAGAGTCATTAAGTGTAGGGATCAGAAATGTCAGTTTATGGAAAATAAAAGAATGCATAGGAATAACAAATTGGGGTTTTGGTTTTACTACACAATGGGGGCTGTGTATAAAGAGTAATTTTGGGGCAAATCTCATAAACTAGAGCCACCCTGTTTTTAGAACTTTGCCCAATAGACTTATTATTACACAATCCCCTGTATGTATTAAGAGGATATGATAGTGCTATATGGACCTAATAAAATATAATAGGTTGCAATCTCAGTATATGTGAGCTAGTCCATGTAGTCTGCTTGCTAGGGACTATGACATGCTGTAATTAATGTGCTTTATAAAAATGACTGTGGACACAGAAAACACCCCTTTAGCAAGCCATAGCTCTCCCAGTGTACATATTACAGCCGTAAAGTGAGAATGTGTTAATGTAACCTTTTTGCTGTAACTAACTCACCTTCAAGCTCCTCAAGTTCGCCATTTTTGATCCGGGAACCTGCTGAGACAACCAGCCAATCACAGAAGAGCAAGCGAGGCAAAACCAGCCAATAGACGAGGACATAGACTGTCCAATCAGATTTAAGCAGTCGACTAGCTGCTCGGCCAATAACCGCCAAAATAACAGTCCTGATGTAGATCCTGTCAGAAGTGCAGTGCAGCCATGTTTGAAGAAAATACTGTTTACCATAGATTAGCTTCCTTAGAGCATTAAACTAATATTAATAAATAGCACTGAGAGGGGTGACTGCTTGCTCCAAAAAAATAAAAAAATGGCAGTGTGTAGCTGTCAATCTATTGTAGACTAAATGACTTAGCATGATCAGAGTTGTAGTCCATTGCATGCTGAATTAATTGCTTAGGGGAGCAATAATTAGATATAATTAATAGTTTAATTAATTAGCTTAATTAGAGAACGGTGTTGGTGAGGAATTATAGTAGGATATTCATCCTCCTCAAGGCTTAAATTTATTACAACAAAGAATAATTGTGCATATATCTAATTCTACTATGAACTATTCATCTAGTTTCACAAGTTACTATTTTTCTACACGGGTATAAAGCAAATGAAGACAATATAAAATTTAAATGGCTGACTAACACAAATGATAAGCGCAGGGGCAAAGTATCCTATAAATCAATTCACTCTATGAGTTGGCACTGAGATAATATCTTGGGCTTTTGTTTTTTGTACTAACACTTAAAATTTGGATAAAGGCATTTCACAATACTATAGATAGAATAGAGAACTTGTAAAATAATATATAGAATAATTTGCACTATGAATATAAGATATTGTTGATTTATAAAGAATTGGCACATAATTTTGGAAATCGATGACTGATATATTCACTATAGGGACCATATGAGAACAGATACAATTATATATGAATATAAACTTAAAATATCCCCCTCTGAAGAGAAGAGAGCTCTTAGAGGATCGTAACATATAAATCAATCTATCTTATAAGATACCCCTGGGTTAATATTTTGATATTATTTGTTGTATTAACACTTATTATACACTAAAACAGGGGTAGGCAACCTACGGCACTAGTGCCATGCATGGCACTCAAGGTGTCTTTACACGGCACTCAAGGCTGCTAGAGCCAAACAAGCTCTGGCCTATCAGAAGTCCCAGTAAAACTTCAGATATCTGCTAATACGAAGAGGTGGTGAAGGACAATCCTCAGTTTATGCACTGCAGCACATAGTTATAGTTAAGTTATCTCAGATCACTTCCTCCCAGCACTTGTGAATGGGAATCCACATTGTAGTATGGCAGCCTGCAGCTGTTGCAGCACCTGCCTTGACCTGTACCTGACCAGCCTGGTCCACACTGGAACCCAGCGAAGCCACCCACACTGCTAGATATACACAGAAATGCAGAATAACCCTCCCCTCATACAAATAATACGAACAGCCCACAAACAAACATACACACAATACGCACAAACGTAACCCGCTAACAATCCACAAACATGCACACAACCCCACATGCAGCCTCTCACATGCAATACCCCAAACAGCCCCTCACATACGCACACTACCAAACACACAATGTGACATTTCCATTCACACAATTCCACAAGCAGCCCTCATACACAGCCCACATTCATAGGTATCATACACAATACCATAAACTACTACTGAACATATACAATATAATAGCTCATATACGCACAAATACAACAATACAAAAGCAATTACAGTAAAAATAACACAAGCAGAAGACTGCAACATACACACCTCAATTTAAAAAAATAGGACCGACACGGTACGGGACATCACAATCTTATATCGGCACAGTGCTGCTAAAAGGTTGCCTACCCCTGCACTAAAATATTGGTTGAAGGTATTTTACTATTTCACAGGTAGACTGGATAATTTATAAAACACTACACAAAATTTGCACTATGAGCATAAGACAAGGTATATTTGACCTATAAAGAATGACACATATTTCTTGAAATGGATAATAGGTGTATATACCATTTGGAGGATATATGCATAGACAAAGGGATATAAGGAGATGTATTCATATCAGACCTCTCCTCTCATATAGATCTGGTCCTGGTTGATACTTCCTCCAATAGTGTATATTTGTTTTTTTTTGTAGAGAAGAGAGGCGATAGAGGAGACAATGACGTAGAAAGAGATGACAGAGAGAAACAGATAGGGGGAAGATTGCTAAAGTATAAACACTTTGTAAATCTAGTCAATCCTTTTCTATGAAATGTATATGTATTTAGAAATTATATACATACAAACTATTGAGATCTCCCCTCCCACGCCATATGGGGGCATCCCAAGAGGGAAGTCTTCCTTGTTAGAGGCCGCTAGACCGTTTCTTTTTCCTTACTATGCATTGTAAAAAAATGTGGGTCAATGGAATAGCCAGTATCTCATGGAGATATGGAGAATTGGCTTTTTACGTTAAATGTTACTTGTTCGTTATCGATGGTAAAATAAAAACACTGATTTCGATCAATACATATAGTGGTACAGTTCAGAAGGAGGGGAGAGAGATAAGGGGGGCAAATGAGAGATGGTTAAAGTTTGATCTCTGAACATTGAGGGATTAAACTCCCCCAACAAAAGATCACTTCTTACCAATTTATTATGGAAAGAGAAAACAGATATATGCATGATCCAAGAGACGCATTGGTTAAAATAAGATCTGGATAGAATTACATTTCAGGGATATACAGTCTTAACGAATGCCTCAAGAACAGATGGGAAAAAAAGAGGAGTCTCTATCCTAGCCGCTAATACACTAGCAGTTGAAATATTATATCAAGAGAATGACGTAGATGCAAAATATAATCTCCTTCTATGTAGTATAAACCAAACAATAGTAACGTTAATAAATGTATACACTGCGGCGGGAGAACAGATAAGTACCTTAAATGAAATAATCGAGATGATTGACAGAGTTAGAAAAGGACCAGTTATCTGGGAGGGAGATTTTAACATGGTGATGGAACCCAGCCTAGATAAAATGTTACCAAGGGGCTCTGAACTATCATGAGAGGTAGTCAAACAGGCACAAAGCCTCAGTAGATTCGTTAGAAGAAATGGTCTCCACGATGTATGGCGCACTTTCCATCCAGATAAAAGAGATTTAAAAAAAAAAAAAAAATTTAAGACGGTACCAGCCTTATATAGTTTGCTGCAGTTCCTGTATCTCGGGCATTGGTACATTAGTCATCATTAAAGTTTTTTTCCTTTTTATTTTGTATGCTCCAATAACCTAATTGTACTCTATAAAACATTCATTTTACAGCTAACAAGACAAAGAGAAAAAAGAAAAGTACACTACATACACAAAAATTGTGACATATACTCCCTCGTCGCCCTCCATAATATTTCTACCTTTAATATATGAGTTAGCTTTAGTTTATATTGTTCCTATTCTTTTATTCCTCCCTTTGTCTCCTAAGTTAGTCTGCCAAAGCTAACTTATTTAGCCACTTATCTATATCAAGTCTTTTTTTTTTCTTCAGGTTTCTATTTAAGCCTCCTTCCATCTTGAGTTGCAAAATTAGTTGTTTTTTAACAATTTCGGTAGTCCCAGTTCGGTAGTCTTTTAGTTCTCCACCTTCTAGTTATTGAAATCTTTGCTGCTATTAGCGCATGAGTGAAGAAAAACTGCAAATCCAAGTTGTATTGATTAAGGTACAGATGCAATAAGATCATTTCGGGACAGAAGGGGAATTTAATTCCGGTTATCACTTCAGATTTTTATGATTACTACCATTTAGTTTAGGGCTCCTATCTAGGTCCACATCTAAAACACAATTGAAGTCTCCCATAATAATAACTCGGCCCATTTTAACGCGCTCGACTTTGTTAAGCACTTTCTTAATAAATGTGACTTGTGACAGATTTGGTGCATATATATTAACCAGCGTATACTTTTGGTTGTTGATTTCCCCCACCAAAATTATATATCGGCCTTCTATATCCAACTCCTGATGGATGATTTTTAGGGAAATACTCTTTTTTTTTTTTTTTTTTTTATGACTCATGGAGGCACTAATTATAGTTGGAAACAATTTAGATTTAAGATTATTTTTTTCTTGTAATTTCCAGTGTGTTTCTTGGAGAGCAGCTATCTGAATTTGTTCCTTTTTCAAAAATTCGAGGATTGTATATCTTTTAAATTTGCAAATTAATCCCCTGTGCATTGATCGTTGCTAATCTCATATTACCGTATTTTCCGGCGTGTAAGACGACTGGGCGTATAAGACGACCCCCAACTTTTCCAGTTAAAATATAGAGTTTGGGATATACTCGCCGTATAACACTACCCCTCTTCCAATGCACACCAAAAAAAATTAGCCATGATGTACAGTGAGCAGACAGAGCTACACAGCAAGACATTAAATAATGATAATCTGAAATAGAATTTAAAGCCCAGGTATGTGCCAGGCTGTTTGGGCATATAATCCATGCCTGCTGGTCTAGCACACAGGAGGCTAATTGCGATATATTCTTTTTACTCCCCCCCCTCCATTCTTTTTACTCCCCCCCTCCATTATTTTTACTCCCTCCCTCCATTCTTTTTAATCCCCCCTCCATTCTTTTTACCCCCCCATTCTTTTTAATCCCCCCATTCTTTTTAATCCCCCTCCATTCTTTTTATTCTCCCCCCTCCGTTCTTTTTACTCCCCCCCCAATCCTCCCTACGTTCTTCTCACCTCCCCTTCCCTGTGCAGAGTGGGTGGCCGAGCTCCTCTTCGTCCTGTCAGTCCGGCCGGGTACCCCGCGGTACAGGAGATTCAGTTACCTGTTCCCGGCCGGACTAAAAGGAAGTGAGCACTCAGTGTGCATTTGTGTCCTTAAGGGGTTAAAGGACCACTATAGTGCCAGGTAAACATACTAGTTTTCCTTGCACTATAGTGCCCTGAGGGTTCCCCCACCCTCAGGGTCCCCCTCCCGCCGGGCTCTAGGGGGAGGAAGGGGTTAAACTTACCTCTTTCTCCAGTGCCGGGCGGGGGCTCTCCTCTCCGCCTCCTCTCCTCCACTTTGGCTGAATGCGCATGCGCGGCAAGAGCTGCGCGCGCATTCAGCCAGTCTCATAGGAAAGCATTATCAATGCTTTCCTATGGACGCTGGCGTCTTCTCACTGTGATTTTCACAGTGAGAAGCACGCAAGCTCCTCTAGCGGCTGTCAAGAGACAGCCA